AATTTAATTTCATTCCTTAAATCTCAACTTTCCTTATCTCTTCAAATGATTCAAAATCTACCTAGATGTTTGAACCAAAATTCTGAGATCCATGCTTGATTTTATCCATTCCTTCACTCCCTATCCCTGAACTAACATGTCCTTTTGTTATCTTTCCTTCAAAATAGATCTCAAATTGGTATAGATTTTTCTAATTTGCTTTTATCTTTTCACAAATGCGCTGATTGAAGTCAAATAAAGATTTCTCTCTATGGTCTACCAAGCCCTGTAAGATCTGGTCCATGGAAGGCTCAGCCACACTCTCCTTGCTGTGTGGCTTCTTAATTTTCCGACTGTTCTGTTGCAAGTACAATCCCCCAGCTTCTCCATGTCTGGTTCCCACTTGTCCTATCAGTTCCTCATCTCACAAGTCACCATTTCACTCACCTCTTCCCTGATCACTCAATCTAATTAGCAATGTCCCACTCCCATCACTTATCATTCTCTATCTCCTCAACTTGTTTTATTTCTCACAATACTTGTCATCATCTGTAATTGCTTATCTTCATGTTTTTGCTGGTTTATTTTCTTTCTCCCAAGTGAGAGTGTCAATTCCATGAGAAAAGGGATCTTCTCTTGTGTGCTCCCCATACACTCAAACCTACAACATTACTTGAATGAAGGAGTGAGTGACATATATGACCCTATCTCTAGATATATCCTTAGGTATGGCTCCCTGGTGAATGCCTTAGGCACAGTTAAATACAATATACTATGTACAGCAGGAGCTCCCCCAGGTGATCACTGCTGTCTAGAATTCCACCATATTCCTCATCTATCAATATTAAAAGCAGCATTGATATTAAGAAAATGTAAAACTAGATCCAAATGGAAATTGTATGGTATTGATTCAGTGATGTAAAAAACCCGAAAGACTGAGAAGTTGGGATGAGCTCCTCTCCTAGTCTCAGGGAAAGAGAATAATTACCCCATTGCCCTGTGACGAAGAAAAGCCAGTACCTTGGCTTTTTAAAAAGGATAGTGCTGCTGCCAGCAGTTTGAGGCACATCCAATGTTTATGCCAAAGGAACTTTTGCAACCGGAGCTTTGAAAACAAGAAAAAAAGTCAGGATTTGGTGGGGGCTGGATAAACACTTTCCACCAGGGAAAGGCAATCCTGAGGTGTTTTTACGCAACTACATATAAACGCTCAATTCAGACTGTGAGTCTGCTTGCAGATAAATCTTAGTAATACATTTCTTACTCTGAGATTGACAACAGATCTGGATATATTTAGAAAATATGTGGGGTTTTTTTTTGCTTTCTTTAACTTATTTATTTTAAGTAAACGTTTATAGAGTTTCAAGTCATAGCTATGAGACATTCGATTTTCATTCTTTGAGAGTGTGGACTATGTCACTTGTTCACCCCCTGGCCCTACCTGAATCCACTGCTGTTCTGATTGCACAGCCCACAGAACTCCTCCCCTGCAGAAGTTCATTGAAAGGGATGAATATTGGACAGCAAAAAGTAAGATCTTGAAGGGAGAGGATGTCATAACAGAATGACTCTCCTTTTCCTAATCTTTAATGCCAAGAACTGCTTGTACCCTCTCTGTGTGAGATCAACAAAGGGGATTAGGTAATACAATGCATCTTTGCTCAGAAAAATGATTCAGTTTTCCTTTGGGCCAAGCTATATTTCTTTCACTCTTCCTCAATTTGCCTTAGAGGTTATTTTACAAATACTGTCTTGTATTAAAAAAACTGTAGCTAAGGATTAAAATACTTAATTAACTAAAAGCAATCAGGAACTCTTTTTTAATTCATTCTCAGCTTTCGCAAATTATCTAATTGCTCCAAAAGTTAGTTGTGCATTACAAATTCAAAGAGGTAAAAAGGATATTTCATTTCATAAAAAAGTGAAAGGAAAACACCTTGGAAAAAGATTTGTAGGAAACATGACAAACTATTAATACCTTTCTTATATAAAATAATACCTCAAATGGATGAGATAAAACATTATGTGCCAGAGTTAAATGAGTAAAAAACTCAGAAGAGATTTTAAATGGCAAATATAGCTAGAACACTATCCCACCTAGCCAGTAATCTTAATAAAGAAAATAAAAATATGCTTATTGCATTCTATAAAATTAAAATAAAGTTAAATAATCTTTCCCCATTCTTTAAAAAAAAACCCCAAGGCATTCCTTGTTAAAACAAAATATTATTAAGAAGCCCAGGCAAACTGGGTTTCATCCACCCTATTTGAAAGGGTGAGCCACAATGACTGGCCTCTTTTCCCTGTTCTTCCCTCAAGGACTTTGACGAAGCTTCAAGGAGCATCTAGTTCTCTAGCACAATTGGAAGACCTATTTTTAATGCCAGCCAGTACCAATGAAAGATAGTACAATAGGCATATTTCTATATTTTTGACACACTAAATCACGTCAACCACTATGAAAAGCAACCTAGAAACACTGCATAAAAACCACCTTGAAACTCACGTCCATTGACAACCTTCGCTTCTGTGACCCATATATTAGCCATAGCGCATGAAGATACTAATTGCAGTATTATTTAAGATGGTGAAATTTTAGGAAGAAAATAATTGCATGTATTCAACCATTCAATAAATATTTACTGAGTAAACAACTTCACAAAAGCTAATGTTTCTGTTAAAGGATGAGAAGAAATAGGAATGGCTGGGGGAACAGTTCAGAAAGGTCATGAAGTTCATTAGACAGTGCTCACTATGTCCTTTACTGAAGATGGCTTTCATCTCGCTGAAGGACATTAATTCCTTAAATTAAGTTAGTTAGGATATCATATCACCAAAAAATACAGTGAAAACTAGAAGAGAAAATTCTTCCTTTGGAACTCTTCAGGTGAGATCACAACCCTGATATTGGTAAAACCTTTCTGAAGAGAATAAAGGTAAAAATAACCTAAAACATTTCCCTGGGACTTTCTATTTTAGGCATGGGTCTAGGAAACCTATCAGCATTTGAAGCACTCCTGACCAAATGGGAAGAAGGATTGCTTCTGCCACAAAGTAGGTCAGGAGTGAGACAGGAGGTTTCTCCATGGTAAATTCTAGGCTTAAAGTGAATAAAAGCATTTGTAAGTAAGATTATACAGTTTCACATTTTTTTCTGTGTTTATTTTCCCCTGTGTAACCCCATATCTTTAATAAAGTTTTATTTAAATGCCTCCAGTCTTGTCTCAGCTGTGCTGTGGGTATAAGGATTCCTTATTTTAGCCAACCAGAGAAGATACCCCAGCCCCCTCTTATGCCTTCAGCTGGTGTGATAATGGCAGAGGTGATGAGTGAGTGTTGAGAACCACCCTGCCTGGTTTCAGGAGCTGTAATCCCCCATGGCTAAGGGTGAGTGAGTGACCTTTGGACCATAAGCCACTAAGGAGACAAAGCTTATCTCCCTGGCAGGAGCACAGCCTCTGCTCCTTTTATTTCATCCATAACTGGCCCCCCAGTGCTTGATTGTTTAGCCAATGACAGGTAAGATTCCCCAAGGGGTGAAACACCTAAGACAGGCACGATCACATGGAGGCCCCAGGGAAGGACTTGGGGGGCTATGGAGAAAAGGGGTGATGGACCTTCGGCCCTTGGCTTTGACAAAGCCTGACTCCCCTGAGTCCTCAAGAAGTCTCCGAAAATTCCTTGGCTATCTGCCTCCTCTGTCTGACGTAAGCCTGAAACAATGACAGAGGGTGGTGCAGCCCTGTGCTGGAAAGGGCTGGCTGCCCAGATGATCAGGCCTGAGAAAGCATATGTAAAATCCTGGGAAGCCTGCTTTGCTAAGAATGCTCTTAGTTAAATGATAAAGGTCTGAGCAGGAAATGAGTTTGTTTCTCAAAGTTTTATAGCCTTTTAGCTGATAGACCCTGACTTATAATAGTTCTTTATATGCTATCTACTGTTTAATCCTTACTGCCTGACAATGATTAATGAGCTGTACCTGTATTTCTGGCCAAATTAAACCCAATAAAACCTGTCTAGGCAAGGGTGCATACTCTCCCCTTGAGAGAGTGGCCAGGCCATTCTGAGGTGCTCCCCCTTGAGGGAGTAGCCGTGCAGTCCCTTTTCCTCCACAGGATTTGGTAGTCCGTGTGAATTTGTCTCATATCTCATCTGTGACGCCGTAGGCACTGCAGGCTGGTGCACTAGGGCATCTCTCAAGTGAGAGATGCCCTAGTCTAGGAAAGGTGTTTCTCAGAGGCCAACGGTAGGCCAGCAGATTCTGCTGCCCTGGCCCACACAGGGAAGCATTTTCTATCACCGTTTTTCAAGGGGCTGGTGTTAATTTGATTACTGAATCACTTCTTTATAGCCTCAGAAATGTTTAGAAATCAGACAGTTAAAAAATAGGCATCTGGAAATACAAATGATACCAGGGAAAGAAAAATAATATCTGAGGTGAAAAAGCAAACAAACTAATAAAGACAAATTTCAGGCAACTCTCTTTGCCTGTTTACTTTAAAAAGAGGATAATTTATAAAACTATGTGGAAATGAGTGCTTTAGGGGGGAAGACAAATGTAAATCAAAGCAAACCCAAACAAAAAAGATATTCTAATATAATCACTTGTTCAAAAGTAAAAATAGAAAAACAAGCATAATCAGTGTTAGTTTTCATTTAAGATTATTTAATTCAACCTTGGAATAATTGGTTTCTGTAAACAGCATACATCTAACTTCATAATCAGATTTATGCTGTGTATGCAGAAAGTTTAATCAGTTCAAACATGAACTGGATTGCAGGTCTGTCTTTCCTGCCACATTATAAAGCACATTATTAGTACATTCCTGGATAGTTCTCCTTTTATTTTCTCTGACTTGTTTTATATTCATTTTATCTTGCGGTAAGTCATTTTATCTGTGTTAAGTCAGCTAAACTATGTTGTGGAAGAAGATGGAGTATAAACAAATAAAAACCACTTTTTCTCTCAATACTTTTCCTTTCTGGAATGACTTTTTCTCTGTGAGAATGACTACCCTTACCTTAGGTTGTTTGCAAAGGTAGCGACAGATTTCCCCAATATATTGAAATACAGTCACATTATACTTTTTGCAGTCATTCCAGAATTGGCTTGCTGAGAATTTCTTCTTTAACACACAAGTAGCTCCTATGGGAAAAGGCAAAAAGAAACACTAGGTAAGAAAATTCAAGGGCAGAATTCAGATAAAACACACATGATGCTGCTCTGTCGCTTTATCACTTTCTAGGCTTTTATAATCCATCAGTGGCCACTTATATCAAGTTCATTTGAAAACATTAATGTTACAGTTCATATGTTGAGGTTGAGAGTAAGGCATTTAGTTCACTGCAGAACCTAACTTTAGCAATGATATAAGCATATGAATATGTCTGAAAGAAAAAAACATACTGACCTTTGTCTTTACTTATTGTGAAAGTTAACCACGTTCTAAATATGCTACTCCATAAAATTACTTTATAGTATTTTAGACATATGAAGGGGCACTAAAAAAACCCCGAATTATTTTCTGGAGGGTGGACTCCTTGTGTACAGGCTTCCTCCATCAGGTGAGTGTTTTAGGAGCCCATCTGTATCACTGTACCACCTGGTGTTGGTGTGAGAGGTTGCATTTGGCTTCAGTGAATTTTTTGAAAACTCATTCAATGCATTTGCTCATTTCATGATGGGTGATTTACAGGAGCACCTGTCCACAATGCACTGAGCGTTCAGCAGTTTTTGATCAAAATCAGCATGATCCCTGTCTCCAATCCTCACTATTCACCCAATCTCACTCCAAGAGACATTCTTTTTGTCCCCAGGGAAAAAAGTCCTCAAAGGGAAATGTTTTGTTGATGTGGAAGAGGTGAAACAAAAAACAGCAGAAGCACTAAAAGGCATCAAAATTGACGAGTTCAAAACTGTTTTGAACAGTGGAAAAATGGCTCTATAGGTGCATTGCATCAAATAAAGAGTACTTTGAACGTAACTGAAGTTTAAACATGAAAGTAAACACACAAATTTTTATATATCAATTCCATTTTTTGACACCCCCCACCCCATATCAAACACAGTAAATGATCTCTCTTCATATATTATTTTGGGACCAGCTGGTAATGGACCCATAATCTCAGCATGTTTATAAAGGGAATTTACTGTGTTACAAGCACTACCACCAGACTTATTGGGTATTTGGGGTATACTGTTTGTGAAGGTAGCCTCAGCAATGCTTATTATGCACTTACCTTTGCAATGTGAATTTGCTGCTCCTCCCTTCAAGACATGATGTTTATTTCCCAACCCTTCAAATACTGAAGCTGGATTGGCTTGTGACTTGCTTTGATCAACAGAATGCAGATGACGTGATTTAAGTGACTTCCACTGATAAGCCTTAAGAGCTATGTAGTTTCCACATTTACTCTCTTGGAAGGTTCCTCACACCATTTAAAGGGGTGGGGGTAGATTATCAAAGGTGGAGTGACCACATGGGTAAGAAAGCCCAGTTAACAGCCAGCACCATTCGCATGGACAAATTACCGGGGCAATGCTCTTTCAACTTCAGGAATACACTGAGTGTATGCACATGGTTCCACTGAGGAGCAACCACATGAAAATTTTGAAAAAGTCAAAACAAAACCAGTGTAATACAAAGCTAAATTTTCAAGCCATACAATTCAGGCAGTGGCATCCTTTCAGCCACTGCCCTAACAGCTGAAAAACCTCTGGCTCAGACTACTAGGCCTAGCAGAGGGAGCCACACTCTGCAGATCACTCATAGTCCCAAACAGATTGCACAGGGCCAGTAACGAGCAGCACCTGACAAGGTCTGCACCAGAATCTTTGCAGATCAACCTAATACATAGAAAGAAATACAAAGAAACAGCCAAAATGGAAAGACAAAGAAACAGGCCCCAAATGAAAAAAATAAGATAATTCTCTAGAAGAAGAATTAGATGAAATGGAGGCAGGCAATTCATTCAGACAGAGAGTTTAGAGTAAGGATTATACTCAACAGCATGAAAAAAAAACCCCATAGGAACCATAAAAAAGGACCAGTCAAAAGTAAAGAATGCAGTATTTGAAATAAATAATAAACTGGAAGGAATAAACAGTAGGTTAGAAGAAGCAGAGGATCTAATCAGTGCCTTGGAAGACAATGTAGAAAAGAACACCCAAGCAGAGAAGCAAAAAGAAAAAAAGAATTAAAGACTTCTTTCTGGTCAAGATAGAGAGGGAGGTAAACACACTTAGCCTCTGAGCCCAACTACTGCAAGCATTACAACTAGACTACAAAACAAATATCACCCAGATTCGTCAGAAAATCAAGCTGTATGGAAGTCTGACAACCAAGATTTAAAGGAGCTACATCCATCCAAATGGGTAAGAGAGGTGGAGATGCAGTGTCACAGAGAGGTGGTGGAAAAAGTGGTCCTGAATTCTTGTGTGGTGGATAAAAATTGGGAGGGATACATTGGGAGCAAGTGAGTCCAGTCCAAGAACAGACCACCTAGCCCAGGGTTCCAGTGCCAGGAAGAAAAGTCCCCATAACCCCTGGCTATAAAACCAGTGGGGTTTGGGGTAGCAGAAAAAACTGCAGGTTTCTCAGGAGAGTCCTCTTAAAGAACCCACAAAGGTCTCAGGATTTATGCAAAACCTACCCCCTCTAGGATTCAGCACCAGGGCAACAGCTGGAAGGACACAAGTGGCAGATGGAGAGAAGGGGAGAAAGTGAACTGACTGGCAACAGGGTAAATGCAAGAAGACAGCTTCCTCCCAGGCGATCACCACAGGCCAGGTATCATCATTTTCCCCTCTCTTAGCCCTCCCCGACACAAAGCCACAAAGTAGTGGAATGAATGGGTTACCTCACCCTGGTGATTACCTAAGGCCACCTAACAATTTAGAAGTGCCTTTGCTACAATAGGTCACATTAGTAAAACAGAGAGTCAAAGCAGCTCTATGCAATACACAAAACAAACACAGGGAGACTGCCAAAATCAGGAGACAAAGAAATATGGCCCAAATTATTACATGAAAGAACAGAATAAAACTCCCCCCCACCAAAAAAAAACTAAATGAAATCGAGATATGCAACCTATCAGAGTTAGAGTTCAAAACACTGGTTATCAGGATGCTGAAAGAAATCACTGGGTACTGCAACAGCCAAGAAAGACCCAGGCAGAAATGAAGTTGGCATTAAGTAAAATTAAGAAAAACCTACAGGGAACCAACAGTGGAGGGAATGAAGTCAAGGATCAAGCCAACACCAGGGAACATAAAGAAGAAATATGCATTCAATTAGAACAGCAAGAAGAAAAAAAAATTTCAAAAAATGAGGACAGAATAAGAGGCCTCTGGGACATCTCCAAATATACCAATATCCATAACATAGGGGTGCCAGAAGGCTAACAGAAAGAGCAAGAAATTGAAAACTTATTTAAATAAATAATCAAAGAAAACTTCCCTAAATTGGTGAAGGAAATAGACATACAACTCCAGGAAGCACAGAAAAACCCAAACAAGTTGGATCCAAAAAGGACCATACCAAGACATATCATAATTAAAATGCCAAAAACTAAAGATGAAGAGAGAATCTTAAACGCAGCAAGAAAAAAGGCAAACAATTATCTAGAAAGCAGTTCCCATCAGACTGTCAGCTGATTTCTCAAAAGAAACCTTATAGGCAAGAAGGGGCTGAAAAGAAGTATTCCAAGTCATGAAATCCAAAGACCTACATCCAAGATTGCTCTACCCAGCAGAGCTTTCATTTAGAATGGAAGGGCAGATAAAGTGCTTCCCAAGTAAGGTCAAGTTAAAGAAGTTCATCATCACCAACCCCTTATTATATGAAATGTTAAAGGGACTTATCTAAGAAAAAGAAGATCAAAACTATGAACAATAAAATGACAACAAATTAACAACTATTAACAACTAAATCTAAAACACAAACTAAGCAGACACACAGAATGGGAATAGAATCATAGATATGGAGATCATTTGGAGGGTTATCAACTAGGAGGGGGAAAGAAGAAAATAAGGGAAAAGGTACAGGAATTAAAAAAGTATAAATTGGTAGGTACAAAATAGACAGGGGGATGGTAAGAACAGTATAGGAAATGGAGTGGCCAAAGAACTTACATGCATGTCCCATGGATATAAACTAAGGGAGGGGTAATGGAGGGAATGAAGGTACTGGGTGAAAGGTTCCAAGAAGAAAAAATAGGGACAACTGGAATAGCATAATCAATAAAATATATTATTAAAAAGATACATTTAATTCTTGTAAGCAAAAATTTTAAAAGATTTTATTTATTTATCTTTAGAGGGGAAGGAAAGGAGAGAGGGAGAGAAATATCAATGTATGGTTGCCTCTCGTGGGTCCCCTGATGGGAACTGGCCTGCAACCCAGGCATGTGCCCTGACTGGGAATCAAACTGAGATTCTCTGGTTCACAGGCCTGCCTCAATCCACTGAGCTACACCAGCCAGGGCCTCTTGCAAACAAATTTTTAAAAAAGAAGTGAAAAAAGAATTTTTAAAAATGAGGAAAGCTTAAGAAACATTTCAGACAACATGAAGTGTAACAACATCCACATCATGGGAATACCAGAAAGAGAAAAGAGTGAGCAAGAGATCGAGAATTTATTTGAAGAAATAATGACTGAAAACCTTCCTAACCTGGTGAAGGAAAGACACACAAGTCCAGAAAGCTCAGAGAGTCCCAAACAAGTCAGACCCAAAGAGGCCCACATCAAGACATATCATAATTAAAACAACAAGGCTTAAAGACAAGGAGAGACTCCTAAAAGCCACAAGAGAAAAGCAGGGACAATCTAATTTCAACAATTAGATTGTCATCTAATTTCTCAATAGAAACATTTCAGGCTGGAAGGGAATGGCATGAGATACTCATGGAGATGAAAAGCAGGGACCTACAAACAAGGCTTCTTTACCCAGCAAGGCTATCATTTAAAACTGAAGGAGAAAAAGGAGCTTCCCAGACAAGAAAAAGTAAAGGAGCTTGTCAACACAAAACGAGAACAAACAAATGTTACAGGGCTTGCTGTAACAGGAAGAAAAAGAAAAGGAGAAAGGAAAAAAAACACAGGAAAATACTCTAACAATTAATGGCACTAACTACATACCTATCAATCATCATCTTAAATGCTCCGACCAAAAGTCAGAGGGTAGCTGAATGGATAACAAAATAATACTCATGTATATGCTACCTCTAAGACCCGACCTCAGATCAAAAGATACACACAGACCAAAAGTAAAATGATGTAAAAAGATATGTTATGAAAATGGAAAGGAAAAAATGGCTTGGATAGCAATATTTACATCTGACAAAATGAACTTTAAAAGCATGACTATAGTAAGAGACAAAAAAGGACACTATATAATGAGAAAGGGAACAATCCAACAAGAGGCTATAACCCTAATAAACATTTACACACCCAACATAGGAGCACTTGAATATGTAAAGCAAATCTTGATGAACATAAAGGGAGAGATTGACAGAAATACAGTCATAGTGGGAGATTTTAACACCCTGTTGACTTAAATGGGTAGATTTTCCAGAAGAAAATCAACACAGAGATAGCAGCCTTAAATAACACACTAGATTAAATGGATTTAATTGTTATCTTCTGGGCATTTTACCCCAGAGCAGCAAAATATACATATTTTTCAAGTGCACATGGAACATTTTCTTAGATAGACCACAGTTAGGATACAAAAGAAGTCTTAATAAATTATAGAAGATTGAAATCATACCAAGCATCTTCTCTGATCACAATGCTATAAAACTAGAAATCAATCACAAGCCGAAAACTAAAAAACACCCAAAGACCTGGAAGCTAAATAAGATATTATTAAAACATGAGTGAGTTAACAACATCAAGAAAGAAAACAAAAGAGACCTTGAAACCAATGAAAATGAGGACACAACAATCCAAAATCTGTGGGACACTGAGGAAGCAATACTAAGAGGGAAATTCATAGCATTACAGACCTATCTCAAACTAAGAAAAAGCTCAAATAAATAATATAACTTCACACTTAAAGGAACCTAAATAAGAACAACAAACAAAGCCCAAAGTGAGTAGAAGGAAGGAAGTAATAAATATCAGAGCTGATACAAATGAAATAGAGTATAAAAAAATACAAAAGATCAATGAATCCAACAGCTGGTTCTCTGCAAAGATAAAGATTGACAAACCTTTAACCAGACACATCATGAAAAAAAGAGAGGACCCAAATAAATAAAATCAGAAATGAAAGAAGAGAAATACTGACTGACACCAAAAAAAGAGAAAGTATTATAAAAAAATACTATGAACAACTATATGCCAACAAAATGGACAACCTGAAGATGAAATGGATAAATTCCTAGAAACATACAGTCTTCCAAAACTAAATCAGGAAGAATCAGAGAACCTGAATAAACAGAATACACCTAGTGAAATTCAAGCAGTAATCAAAAGACTCCCAACAAACAAAAGCTTTGAACCAGATGGCTTCACAGGTGAATTTTACCAAACATTCTGAGAAGAACTAATACCTCTCTTTCTCTATTTAAAAAAATTCAAGAAGTAAGGCCCCTAAGCTCATTTTATGAGGGCCAGCATTATCCTAATTCCAATATCAGATAAAGACACTACAAAAAAAGAAAATTATAGGTCAATATCCTTGATGAACATAGATGCTAAAAATCTCAACAATATATTAGCAAACCAAATATAGCAATGCATCAAAAACATCATACACCATGATCAACTGGGATTTATGCTGGGAATGTAAGGATGGTACAACATTCACAAATCAATAAATATGATTCATCACATAAACAAAATGAAGTATAAAAACCACATGAGCATATCAATAGATGAAGAAAAAGCCTTTGATAAAATCCAGCACCTTTTATAATAAACACTCCCAGTGAAGTAGAAATAGAGGAAATATACCTAAACATAATAAAGGCCATATATGACAAACCCACTGCCAGCATCATACTCGTGGGCAAAAACTAGAAGTGTTTCCCTTAAGATTGGGAGGAAGACAGGTATGTCCACTTTTACTTCTCTTATTCAATGTAGTACTGGAAGTCCTAGCCATAGCAATCAGGCAAGAGGAAGAAATTAAAGGCATCCAAATTAGAAAGGAGAAAGTAAAACCATCATTATTTGCAGATGTTGTACATAGAAAATCCCAAAGATCCCACCAAGAAACTTCTAAAAATAATAAATGAGTTCAGCAAAGTAGCAGGATACAAAATTAATATCCGGAAATCAGTTGCATTTTTATATACCAATAATGAACTAACAGAAAGAGAGATTAAGAAAACAATCCCAGTTACAATTGCTTCAAAAAGAACTCAATGCCTAGAAATAAATCTATCCAAGGATATAAAAGACTATACTTGGAAAATTATAAGAAACTGAAGAATGTACAAATAAGTGGAAGCACCTACCATGTTCATAGATTGGAAGAATTTACATTATTAAAATATCCATACTACCCAAAGCAATCTATAGATTCAATGCAATTCCTATCAAGATACCAATGATGCATATCATAGAACTAGAACAAATATTTCAAAAATTTACATGGAACCACACAAAAGGCCCCGCATAGCAACAGCGATCCTGAGAAAGAAGAACGAAGTTGGGGGAATCATGCTACTTAACATCAAACTATACTACAAGGCCAAAATAATGAAAACAGCATGGTTCTGGTATAAACAGAGACACACAGATCAATGGAACAGACTAGAGAGTCCAGAAATAAATCCACAACTTTATAGTCCATTAACATTCAACAGAGGAAGTGAGCTCATACAATGGGCTAAAGATAGTTTATTCAATAAATCATGTTGGGAAAATTGGAAGATATGTGCAGAAAATAAAACTAGATCAACTTCTTACACCACACACAAAAATAAATTCAAAATAGATTAAAGTTTTAAATGTTATACCTAAAACCATAAAGATCCTAGAAGAAAACATTGGCAGCAAAATCTTTGGACATTGCCTGTAGCAATATTTTATGATATATTCACCAGGCAAGGGAAACAAAAGAAAAATTAAACAAATGGGACTATATCAAACTAAAAAAGGTTTGCACAGCAAAGGAAAACATCAGCAAAATAAAAAGAGAATTCACGAAATTTGAGAACATATTTGCCAATATATATGATAAGGGGTTAATATTCAAAGTTTATAAAGAACTTAGGAAACTCATCACCAAAAAAACCCCAAACAACCCAATTAAAAAATGGGCAAAGGACCTGAAGAGACACATCTCTAAAGAGGGCTTACAGATGGCCAATAGACACATGAAAAGATACTCAACATTACTGATCATCTTACACCTGTCAGAATGGCTATCATCAGTAAATGAACCAACAACAATTTCTGGTGAGGAGGTGGAGAAAGGGGAACCCTTTTGCACTGTTGATGGGAATACAGACTGGTGCAGCCACTGTGTAAAGTAGTATGTAGATACCTCAAAAAATTAAAAATGGATCTGCCTTTTGACTCAGCATTCCCATCTCTGGGAATGTATTAGAAGGAATCCAAAACACTAATTTGAAAGAACATAAGCACTCCTATGTTTGTTTCAGTGTTATTTACAATCACCACGATATGGAGGCAGCCCAAATGTCCATCAGTAGATGAGTGGATAAAACAACGATGGGACATTTACACAGTGGAATATTACGTGGCCATAAAAAGAAGAAAGTTTTACCCTTTGTGACAGCATGGCTGGACCTGGGTAATATTATGCTAGGCCAGTCAGAGAAAGACAAATACCATATGATTTCATTTATATGTGGAATCTAATGAACAAACTGAACTAATAAGCAAAATAGAGACAGACTCATAGATAGCGAGCAGGATAACTGCTACGGCAGGGGTGAGGTCAGGGGCTGGAGCAATTGAGCAAAAAGGAAAAAGGACTCATGGACGTGGACAACAGTGTGGTGATTGTGGAAGGAAGGGAGGTGGAAGGAGACTAAATGGTAATGAAAAAATACAATAAAAAACAAAATAAAATAAACTTATCAAAATTAGAAAATAGGAATATACTGAATATGTAATGAAATTGTGTACTTTTAATAAATTGTACAATTTATTAAATGGTATGATTATATAATACATGCACAATCATTCTGAATTCTACTGGTATAGTTTAAAACTTTAAAAACATGAGTTCTAATTATTAGGCATTTTGAAAACTTACAAACAAAATAAAAGCTTACCTAACTCAATACATCCACCAATTCCCAGGAGAGCTCCTGCGCTATGATACAGAGGAAGGGTTATGTAAATAATGTCATCAGTAGTACAACCAAAAGCCCACAGTCCAACGGAACCCTTTAAAGCCTGCAGCTGAGTAATCACAGCTGCTTTTGGTAGACCTAGAAGTAAAGAAAAAAAATACATATGTAATATATAACAGAAATCAAGTCTAGCCTTTCCTAGACATTCCTCTTTTTTTTTTTTTTAGGTGTCAGAGGTCTTTATTGAAATAATAGCACAGTTACACTTCAAATACCCTTTCCACTTATATACAATAGCTTAAAAATGCTCATTACATGCAGTGCACAGACAGTTCAACAATTAGAACCAACTCAAATGCATCTGAAATAAATAAAATAGCCTACTGAATAATTTAAAGTAAAATGAATGAACAATATGAAAATAAAGATACAAAAGTGTTAGGATTACTAGACATGCTTGAGGCCACCTAACCAAGGCCAACAGCAATTACAGAACTAGAAGCTAGCAGACTGGATACACCGTAGACCCTGAAAATAAAAAGAATGGAACTAGAGATGACAGCAACAAAATTTAGAAAAGCAGATGGACGACTGACACCACCCATTCAAGAAGCTGAACACTAAGGTGAAGCCTTGAAGAAAGGTGATTTCCCTCAGAGAATCCCACAGAGGCTCAGAAAGCTGACCAGCAGGTGCCTCATAGAGAAAAGATAGTTATGGAACTATAAACAGGGAGTTTCATAGAAGTTCTGTTTATGAAGCAACTACGTCAAGGACATAGAAAAGGGAGTTTATGTAACTCTTACCCCTTGTTCATCAAGTTATTATATAACCTCCCTAGTCAAAAGATATAAATGGTATGAAAATTGACCTCAATTCTTTTCTTATTCGGAGATGCTCTGAATTTGTTCCTGGGTCCTGGAATATAATCTTTTCGTGATCCTGGGCAAACAGGACTTGGCAGTAGTAAGGGTTGCTAGGTAATAGTCGACATCATCCAAAGAGTTCCCTTATAACCTGCGGAGAGAGCCTATGAGCAGACCCTACTCCCACTGTGTAACTTTTCAAAGCCTCACTTCCTAACTTGCACCAACACCTCCTTCATTATGAATGTAATGTTTTTGGTGGTGAAAATCAAGTGCTTTTTATGATATCAGGGGGCATAATATTATAAATTCTCATATTTTTAGCATTACAATCAATTCAGCTCTGGATTTTGAGTTGCAAAACATCAGTTTCTGTTAGAGAGAGAGAGAAATGTGTTTTATTAAAATGTCAATTAAATCCTTACTGAACTCAATGTGATTTTGTTACACTCTTTGATAGCTTTATATCCATAAAGCATGGCATTGTCTGGATGCCCAATTCCGTATGTTGCTCTGTGCTTCTCTCAACAAGATCTCATAATGCTCAGGACTTTAGGCTATGAGAAGATATTTGTATTTCTTTCCTGTATAATACAATCATTCACAAACTAATTTTGTAAGAATATCAATATATGCTTTTTAAAAAGATTTTATTTATTTGTTTTCAGAGAGAGGGAAGGGAGAAAAAGAGGAAGAGATACATCCACATGGGTTGCTTCTTCCGTGTCCCCTTCTGGGGACCTGGCCTGCAGCCCAGGCATGTTATTTCCCATTCCTAACAGGGAACTGAATTGGCGACCCTTTGGTTCTCAGGCTAGCACTCAATCCACTGAGTCACACCAGCCAGGGCTCAACATACACTTTTGATATTTGCTTTAAAATGCAAAAGAATAAAAAAGAAAAGTAAACTACAGCTCCAGATTGCTTCTTCTTCCCTGGTAGATCTCAGGTTTATGAGATCTTATTAAAGGTGATCTTATTAAAATCTCTTTATGAGATTTTATTAAAAGCGACTCTGGAAATAGCAGGAAAAAGAGAGACTGGACAGTTGGAGAATAAGAGAAAGTCTGCATTCTCCTGCAGCTCCTTTTTAGCCCTTGACTAGGTTTACCCTTCCAGATTCTCATCTGAGGACTCCGAATAGCTCAGAATAGCAAAAACTGACAGACACTGACAGTCATGAACCCCCAACAAAGTGCCCTGGACAATGACACCAGTCAGTCCCCCAGGTCCACTTGGACACACTGGGCTCATCTAGTCAGGATACGGTATGTTTTGTGTGTCTGTGTTCTGGTGTCTGTACTTTAAGTATTAATTTCAGCCCAAAATCAATAGATATTTGGGTAATCCTGTGGGGTAAAGGTTAGAGACCAATAGAACCCTAAAACAAAAGGATGTTGAAGAAAATAAAGACAAGATAGAGAGAAGAAATTTTCAAAAAATTATTATAATTAATATTCCAAGAGAAATGAGACTACAGAATGTCAATAATACAAAGGTAATAGAAAGAGGAATATTCAAGAAGCATTAAAGAAGATAAATCTCAAAAAGTCAATTGAAAGATAAGAGAAGAAAAATGGGATAGAAAAAATACAAAATGAATAACTCCATCCAGAATGGCCAATCTTCAAAAAGTTAGAGTTCCAAAGACAAACAAATAAACAAACAAGTGAACAGGGAGAAAGAACAGAAATAAAAAAGGAAAAAGAAGAGAACGTACAATAGCATTAAAAATTTTTTTCAATTAACTAGACTTGCAAGATCTGAGTTTCTAGACTAAAAAGGCCTACAAATTTTCCAGCAAAAAAAAAAGAAGATTTAGACCAGTCCTAGTACAAGTCATCATGATGTTATAGACTAATAAAAACTCTTAAAAGATTCTAAAAATCCCCAAAGGAAAATAAAAAGAATACCAGTTTGCACATATAGGATAAGATATCAGAAAGAAAAAGACCACTCAGTATGTATGCTGAAAGTCAGAAGGTAATAATAGAGCATGTCTTCAAACTTCTGCTACAGCTGGAATCTGTTTAGGATTTAACATTTTCTACAAGAATATAAAAAACTTTTAAAGTAGACTGATGGATTATCCAGCAGGATAATTAGAAACTATTTAAACTAATCTCTTCTTTTTATGTATCAGGAATCTAAGGAACAGAGACGCTAGCAAAGATCTTGTCAAAGAAGCTGGTCAAGGCTTCAGCTGTGCTTCGCTCTTGGTACTGCCAAACTGGAAGACAATAGCCAAGTAGTAAGTGGACCTGATAGCTTGGCAAATTAAAGGTAGACCAAGTTAAATTTAATGTCACTACCCTTGGCAGACATTTGTCCAACATTGTTGCTTTCTTTTGAGATCTTAAGAAAAAAAGAAATCATACCTGTTGTTCCAGAGGTAAAAATATAAAGATAAGGAGACTTGAGGTTGGAGGCAACATGGTGGCTACTTGGCACTAGCTTGTCAGATGCTGTCGTCAGTTTTTCTGTGAGTGAAATTATGCCTCGGGGAACAGAGTCTGTCACTCCCCAAACACTGATACCCTCTGGCAGGTTGGGGAGGATTTCTTCTATGGCTTCAAGTAAATCTGAAAACCAAAGGATTAGCAGTCAGTAAACAAAACATAAATCTCAAACCATTCATCTGGTGCTTTCTCTGGCCTGTTGGAACAGAGATAAAATTTAAATACAATGCTGATTTAATTTTCATGTTGAGTAAGTAATATCTAAGTCATGTTATGATTCTATTTCAACAGGACCAGACTAAAAGGGAAATCTAGTCATCACCTAATTTAATCAATGCAAATAGACCTATTCAAATTGGATTTTGGGTAGGCCATTATCCAAATGGCTATTTTTTTCCCCAATTTTCAAATAAAACTAATTTTTAGACTCTGCTTTAAATCTAAGTTCAGGACACTGCACTAAATGCTGTCCTTGAAATATTGTACAACTCAGTAGCTCATTATGCCAAACAAACGTGTCTGTCACTGTTTAGTTCCACAATAATGTAATACATTTGGGAGAACCCCCTGAGCACTCTGAAATCACAAGACCACTATGACCTAGAAACCGCCGCAGAGTCAAAAGGTAAATGAGATTTAGAGAAGCCAGTGGCCCTTTACAGTTACACAAAAAAATGCCCAATTACCAGCAACCACCAGAAGCTAGGAAGAGACAAGAAAAGATTCTTTCTTGGATTCTTGAGGGGAGCACTGCCCTGCAGACACTTTCCTTTTGGACTCCTAACCCCAGAACTGTGAGGAAACAAATTTCTGTGGTTTTAAGCTATCCAGTTGTGGCATTTGACTATATAGCATCCCCAGGAAACTAATACACCAAGGTCACAAGTTGGTGGATGGTAAAGTTGATGTTATTATGACCCAAGTGTAACTCTAAAATTTATACATGACCTCATGAAAGAAACCAATGATAAAAAATATTATTGAATATAAAATATACCCTGGTCAGAATGTTCAAGAACATGTAAATATGGACCTTTCCATCTAAGCAATTATATTTATTCTCAAGTTTTAACAAAAGTTTAAAAATCATCACAAGGGATGTTCTGCTTTGAAGCTGAGTTCAGGGCACTGCATTAAAATTTTTTCTGGAAATGTCAATCACTATCCAGTTATTTCAAAAAGCCATCTGGAGACTTCCAGTCAGGATGGCAGCATAGATAAACATGCTCGCCTCCTTGCACAACCACATCTAAATTACACCAAAAATGTAGAACAACTGTCACTCAGAACTGTCAGAAATTGAGCTGAATTTGACAACTACAGAATTAAAGAAACCACATTCATACAGACTGGTAGGAGGGGCTAGTGCCCCATCCCCGTGTGGTAGGTAACAACTCAGGAGGGATATCTTAGGAGTAAGAAGTCCCAGCTCCACACCAAGCCCCCCCAGCCCAGGGTTCCACTGCCAGGAAGTCCCTATAACTTCTGGCAGCAAAAGCGAACAGAGATTCGCTCAGTGGAAGAAACTTTTAGACTCCCAAGCAGTTCCTATTAAAGAACCCACATAGACTACAACAGACTCATTCCCTCTGACCTCTGGCACCAGGGTAGCAGCTTGAAAAGCATCAGTGGCAAACAGGGAGGAACTGAAGTGTCTGGCAGCAGCCACGGTCCTTTTTCTGAACCCTCCCACCACACAGAGTTAGATGCAGGTGCCATTTCTGAGATTCCATCACCCTGGCTAACACTGTTTGCCCCACCCTAGAGATCCCCAGAGACTCTGTCCCACCTAATTTATGGGCCCACCCAAGCTGCTGTTCCATGTGAATGGCTGATCTTGGGTCTTGCTTCATAATTTCCTAAATCCTCTCAAATAAGCAACAGCCAGCTTCAGTGAGCCCCCAGCTCCTGTACCTTTTGCTAAGTGGCCCCAGGCCCAGCATACAATCAGCCTAGATTCACAGCTTGGCTTCCCCTAGGTATCTCCAAGCTCAGCACAAGTAGCAGCCAACATAAATTGTTGTACAGTTCAGGCAGGGTGGCCTGTGGCAAAACGAAGATGGGTGTTGACCTTTCTCAGGAAACCACAGAGCCTGTGTACGCAGTGGGAAGCTACAGGCCACTTTGGGGCACCACTGCCCTGCACCTTCACAGCTGTGCCTCCATGGAGGGTGGAGATGGGTGGTCAATGGACACAACAGCCCTTGCAGCTGACTCATCTGGGTAAATCCCTCCCACTGACCTGCCGGCAGTAATCAAGGCTCAACTACAATAGGAGAGTGTACCCATTCCACAGGAAAGGCACACCTCAAGTACTCTGTTTAGTGGAGGCTGTGCCACTGGACCCTACAGGACACCTACTTCATTAGGCCACACTACCAAGATAGGGAGTCACAGCAGGTCTACCTAATACATAGAAAAAAAATGCAGGGAGGCTGCCCAAATTAGGAGACAAAGAAACATGGCCCAAATGAAAGAACAGATCAAAACTCCAGAAAAATAACTAAACAAAATGGAGATAAGCAAGCTCTCTGATGCAGAGTTCAAAACACTGGTTATAAGGATGCTCAAGGAGCTTAGCGACAACCTCAGCAAAATAAAAAAGACCCAGTCAGAAAGGAAGGATACACTAATTGAAATAAAGAATTTACAGGGAAACAACAGTAGAATGGGTGAAGCTGAAAATCAAATCAATGATTTGGAACATAAGGAAATGAAAAATAACTAATCAGAACAAGAAGAAAAAAAGAATCCAAAAAATGAGGATAGTGTAAGCAGCTTCTGGGACAACTTCAAGAGGTCCAACATGACAGGGATGCCAGAAGGAGAAAAGAAACAGCAAGAAACTGGACATCTAGTTGAAAAAATGATGAAAGAAAACTTCTCTAATTTGGTGAAAGAAATAGACATGCAAGTCCAGCATAAAGAGTCCCAAACAAGATGGATGCAAAGAGGCCCACTCCAAGACACTTCACAATTAAAATGCCAAGGGTTAAAGATAAAGAGACAATCTTAAAAGCAAGCAAGAGAAAAGAAATTAGTTACCTACAGGGGAGTTCCTATTAGACTATCAGCTGACTTCTCTAAAGAAACTGCAGGCTAGAAGGGATTGGCAAGAAATATTCCAAGCCATGAAAAGCAAGGACCTACAGCCAAGATTGCTCTAGACAGCAAAGCTATCATTTAGAATCAAGGGCAGATAAAGAGTTTCCCAGACAAGGAAAAACTAAAAGAGTCCATCATCACCAAACCATTATTATATAAAATGTTAAATGGACTTTTTAAAGAAAAAGATCAAAATTTGTGAGTAATAAAATGGCAATACACACACATCTCTCAACAACTGAGTCTATAAAATAAACTAAGCAAACAAGAACAGAGACAGAATCATGGATACAGAGAATGTTTTGACAGTTGCCAGATGGGAGAGGGATGTGGAGGAATGGGTGAGGAGGTGAGGGGTTAAGAAGTACAAATAGGCAGTTACAGAACAGCCATGGGGCTGTAAAGGACAGCACAGGAAATGGAGTAGCAGAGAACTTACACACATGACCAATGGACATGAACAATGGTGGGAGGATTGACTGTGGGAGTGGGGTGCTGGGTGGAGGGAGGCCTGGGGGAACAATTGGGACAACTGTAATAGCATAATCAATAAAATATAATTAAAAATAAAAAGCTATATGTCAGCCACTGTTTAGTTCTACTATAATACAAGGCACAGGAGAAAAACTCATGATTTCCTTCCTCAAAATTTATAATCCAGGCTGATCACAAAGAGGCAGCAAAAGAAATATGTCAAATGGGACAAGGCGGTTCACAAATAAAACCTGCAAGAAAACAAAGGGAACACAGAGAATGATAGAGTTTTTATTTTGTAGGTGGCAGGCAGATTGGGACTTGAGATTTTTTTACATTAATTTTTATATCTATAACAAATCCAAATAAAGTAAACTGCCCGAGTCCAGAGAAAATAACTATGATAGTTCTACTGAGCATACACAGCCAGCTGCTGTATGTAGATTGCTTTGGTAAGAGGGAGAAGTGAAAAATATTATGAGGAATGCTAGGGGAAGAACAAGTTATAAATAAATGACAAAGCAAGACAAGCAAATAATCTAGACTTCCTCTTTTAACTTTTAGCAGTAAATTTTGTTTAATTGCTCTCTGTGGCACTTTGCATGAGTCAGTACAAGTCTCTGAACCGACTCATTTCATTACCTTAATTTCAAATCTCTCATCTGGAATTGTAAATTAGCAGCATATACTTTTACATGTTCTTAATGATATGTGTGTCTAAATTGGCAAAATTAGCATAAATCAAGTTAAAATATGATTCATCGTGGCCCAAAATCTTTGTTGGAATTGTAGAGTCTAAAGAAACAGTGAACATTTACAAAGTGAAGGGGAAATTTTACAGGAAAAGGGAAATGAATAGATTCCTAAGAATCAGAGGAGTTACAACTTAATTTCCTTCATACATTAAAAGTAAATTGACTTATAGAATTTTAAAGCAGAATTTTATCTAACAAAACATTTCTGTAATAGTGGAAGGAAATGTGGGTAACAATAGTAAGAATTGAGACAAAAAACTGAACATATCATATAGGGGATAAAGAATCATTGTTTACTTATCACTGTCAATCTTTTGTAACAAGAAGAAAAGTTTCAGTGTCATTTGGAAAGTAAATTCTGAACATTAAGCCCTAACCTCCCCCCTCACCCGCCCAAATAGCATTTGTTCAAATACTTGAAGGAAACTTGGCTGTGTTTCATGAAGGTTTACTCTTCGGTGAAGTGTCTTGCCAACGAAATAGGTAGAACCGCAAGGTGAGGGCCCCCAGAGGAGGATATGTAGCCTCCTTGGGTCATCCTCTGGCTGACTGTGACTTGCATACTCACTGTGAGAGATGGAGAGATGCCTGGTCACAGAACTGAGCTCTGCCCTTGGGATCCATCGCGTGTGTGCAGGTGTTAAAAGTAAACCACCATAAGAAGATGAGACAGCTGAATATTCTATGACCTTTAACAAAGTCTACATTGCAGGAGAAAGCTCAATCTCTCTTTTCAAAGTAATAGGGTCTTCCAGAAAATACAAACTGTTTCTTGCATTGTCAGGCACT